GGAAGACCGCTCATGCTCTTCCTCCTCTAATAGCCCTCTCCTCCTCCTGCTGCTCTTCTCTTCACTTTGTTTCACCTCGCGCACATGCACGCTCCCCTCGTGTTTCTAGTAGTCGCTGCGACCCCCTGCCTGCAGTAAAATGACAAATACCACCGCGAGGAAAACGTTGTGCGCACGTGCAGCCGGTAAACAGACGCCCTAAATCCCGCTTTGTTGGTTCTTCAAGAGCCGCGCATCCTCTGCTCAACACTTCGCTTTTTCTTTTTCTTTCCAAAATTCTGGCTATTATCAACTTTTCTTAAATATTGTATATCGAATAGATTAAATCAACAGTGTTTTTACTTCTTTCATTAACAAACACACGAGGTCCCAAAACTGGAGCGAATGCATAAAAAGTGTATTTTGTAGCAGAGTCTCTGATGTTTTAAAACTGAACCACGTCTATCCGCGGGAGTTTTCCATGTTTATCCAAACACGCCCACTCTTCCTCGGCGCCTTCATTGTGTGTAAACGCTCTGCCATTTGTCATGCCCCGGTACTGTCAATAATTCCCTAATCACTGACGGTCAGCCCGATTCTATTCAATCGGCTACTCTTCGGGCAGGTGCATCTGGAATCGGGGGGTTTATGTGGCAGCGGCTCTGCGGCTCCAAGAGCTTTTCTGTCCTGCCTATGGCTCCGTACCTGCAGTGCTGCAGAGAAAAGGCGCCCCTTCCCCCACTCTGCATTATGACAAATCAAGGCAGGCAGGCAGCTGTGCCATTAGCACATCATAGCACAGTAAGTCTTCCATGGGAGAGGAAACCGCACACCGCTATGGACTCTTACTAAATACTGATATACACGCCGCCTCACCTGTCCATAACAGTGTATTAACCCAGAGGACTGACTGGAACCCTGAACAGGAAACAGAGCTGCCTCATTATCGTTATTGAAAGTCACAATCAACTAGCCCGTGCGCTCTAACTGAACCCTATAGTTGTAATCAGTGCAAATAGCGACACCCTGCCCTAATTTTAAAAGAAGTTATGCTAAAACTCGGAATAAATGATTAGGGGAGCTTTATCATGTGGATTTTTAATAGCGCTCAGCGTTGCTGTCCATTCACCGTGGTGCTGAAACACTGTCTCATGCACGCTGCTTCCCAGAAACCTTTTTTTTTTTTTGACATAGTTTTAGCAATGAAACATCGGCAATATCCCACGGTATACTAAATACATTTCTACCATATAATTAAAGGTAGTTTCAACGAGATGCTACAGTAGGTGATTTTCTCGAACTATATGTAGTGCAATACAATGCCTCCAGTTGTCCTTACCCAAAATTTTACTACACATTTCCAGCCAGCAGACCTAAAGTAGGCTTCTACACGTTGCTCAAAGTTACAAGAGCGACTAATTCATCACCCTGGAAATATTTCAGGTAGCAAAAAAAAACAGACAGTAGTGGAGTGGAAACTAAAGTGCAGTCCATCACACTTTTCAGGGGAACACTGTTTGACACCAAAGTTAGTTACTAACAGCAGAGGTGTCAAGTAACGAAGTACAAATACTTTGTTACTGTACTTAAGTACACTTTTTAGGTATCTATACTTTACTCCATTACTTATTTTTCTTCCTACTTCTGACTTCTTCTGATTACATTTTCACACAAGTATCTGTACTTTCTATTCCTTACATTTTTAAAACAAATGTTACTTGTTAATCTTGGCTTGGGTTTAATGTTTATAAATATTTATTTCACGTCATGTGCGCCATCCAATGCAGTTCATTGGCGCCATCCACATCTATTGAAAACTAGTGTAATTGGATGAGTCATATAACGCTAAACAAAATCATCAGAAGCAAGCAGGTGTTCTTCAAACTGCATACGCGAATTCTCTATGCCATGCTACAATGTCGGATTCAGAAAAAGATGTTGAAATGTCTGAAAGGTCGTAAACAGGTGAGAGCGTATCGGGAGATGGAGACGGAGACCAACAAGACCTCCCTCATCCTTGGCTCTATCTCAAAGAATTGTTCGAAATAGTTTGGGTTCTTCCAATAAGCAAAACATGGGAAAAAAATAATAAAAACATGGTGGATATCTGTCCAGTTTTTAGGATTTGATAAGTTTAAAAACATGACAAAGCATGCAAACTGTTGAATATTTTTGAATAATTTTAGAAAAACACATTTAAAAATTTTTCTTGAGTTGATTCAGCTTTTAAAGATTATTGTTTCAACATTTTATAACGAAAGAATCAAGCTTAAATAAAGAACAAAAAACTATTAATTTCTAATCATTGTTTATTATAACACACAGCTGTTCTAAAAATAGACAGAAACAGGATGTTACACAACGAGACATGGTGTTTAAGGAGTTAATATAAGTAAAGTAATAGGGTGGGTTGTGTTTTCCCTGAGACAGTCAGCTCCTCCTCAATAGCTTCTGTGAATGGGCAGTAAGGCAGCAGGCTATGAATGGCGGAGGGATATAATGGTGCTGCCATGTATGTAAGCTGTCATGCAGGTCTCTATTGCTCACTCCCACTCCTTGAAGGTCTGTCTGCAATGCAGCTGTCCTGTGAGCCCGTGGTTCATCGTGCCCTACTTTATTCTCTCAGTGTTCAAACACTGCAGCAGTACCTCTGCCAGCACCCCCCCACCCCCAAACCCGACGCACACACCTACACACAAATACACACATTTGCAAACACTAAGTGGCTTTTATGTGTATAACATTCTATTGCAAATGTCTACAGCAGGCATGCTCATACCCAGACATGAGGTTTTTAAATAAATATATATTTTGAATATATAACAGCAATCCACCTTATTTCAGATATTAAATGCATGCATAACAGATCTAGAGAGAAAAAATAAAATAAGGTCCTTGTAAAATGTGAAGAAAATCAATTTTCCTATGCTTCCTCTGTATTTTAAAGCAATTAATCAGTCAATTACCCAACAAGTTCAATTTGAGCCAAATACAAAGAGCTTGGATTTCTCTTTTACAGCGGTGTAAAAAGTGTAATACATCAAAGAAAGTAATATAAAAAAACAAAACAAAAAAACACTGAAAGAAAAACATAGATCCCTTAAGGTTTAGGGTAGCCCACAACAATATATAGCTTAGTACACACCAGCACATGATAAAACATAAAATAAGCATTATAACACACAATGTCAGAGCCAAAGCTGAGTATTGAATGCTACAGCTAGTATATATTAGAAAATGCTAAAAAAGAAAAGTGATTTAGCCATAATGCAAATAAATAAACAGACATTTACTATTACAGACATAAAGGTCAGAATATAGCTATAGAAAATATGTTAAGAGCATAGATGGAAATAAATGTATTGAGAAACTGGTGAAATTGTAAGATTGAATGCTCAATAATTTCAGCATTAACATAAGCTATAATTAACAAAAAAAAATCTTGCCTACATTTACAATTGTAGGCAATGTAAAAGTAGGCAAGATCTTTGTTGTTGTTTTGATTTTTTTGTTTTGTGTTCTCTTCTGATGCAGGCTAAATAATCAGCTGAGGAAGGACAGTTAAAAAGTAACACAAAATAGATTAAAATTCACATGTAAACATGCCAGAGACAGCAGATAACAAATCAGGTCAAACCAACTTGCAATTGATTAGATTATAAAAGTTACAGTCAAAACCCAAATTTTTTTAGGCAATCCACTTCAATCAGGTAAACAAGCTTTAAACCAAAAACAAATAAAATACTCAACAGTGTTTCTCCTAAAGCTATAAAGGCAATGTCCCCCTGCAGTCACCTTCACATGGACAAATGGACAAACACACTTTTCTCCTCAGATAGACAAAATTCAATCACTAACACACATAATCACCCCTGCTGACGATCAAATAAACCACCAGTCCATTGCATAGCACAGCTACTATTTATATAAATACCAAATGCTACATGTCTATACATGTTTTTTCCATGGATGGAAGAAAGAGTTTAATTTTTGATGCGTTTTGTTTTTCTTCTTAAGGATGTTTTTCTTCTCATTTCTGCAGTCTCTACAAAGGATTCTTACTCTTGTGTTTCTAAAAATGTCATTAAAGTTACATAATGACAATAAAGACTCTTGATTCCAATAGATGGACATGGTCAGCAACAGGTAGGTAGTGGTCTTACCCTTACAAGGTCACATAGCAGCTGGTGCCTGTTACCAATAATTATAGCATGAGAGGCAGGACTCACCCTGGGCAGGTTGTCACTCCATATAAGGGCAACACAGAGAGACACAACCATGCACACAGACACTCACATAAAAGGGAAACATAGAGATAAAGTCATGTTTTGAACTGTGGGAGTAAGCCAAAGTGAATGGATTGAATCCACACACACGGGCAAATGTGCAAACTCGATGTGGAAAGACCCCAGGCCGGGGTTTAAATCTAGGAATTTCCTTCTGTCAGATGTAAGACAACAGGGCCACAAACTGCTTCCCCTTGCACACCAATAGCTGATAAATCCATGCATTTATGTCGTTTAAGCCAAATTCTGACTCTACTATTTCAATCTTGTAGCTGAAGTCTAGGTTTTCCAATCAGTTATTATCCAACTTTGATGAGTCTGAGATGGAGCATCAATTTAAAATCTTGCATCCTACATGATTAGCAGCCTCCATGTTCTTCATCTGTTGTCACCTACAAGCTTCAAAGTTTGAAATGTTTTCAATTTAGATTCTTATGTGCTAGCGAAGCTTTTTGTTACACTTTAAAAGTCTACTCTCCTCCGACAACAGTGCAACAGTTATAAACAAATGCTGCTCACTAGATAGCTCCTCTTTTTCAGACCATCTTAAAACATTATTCAACGCTATTAAGCCACATGGAAAAAAAATAAGAAAATGAGAAAAAAAAGTAGATTGCTAGGACTTCAAAGGGGGTGTTTACAAAACAGGCTTGAACATTTGGAAAGAATAAATAATTTTAAAAAATCGCTGCAACCAACTAATGCAAAGGTAAAGAAAATGTAAAAACGACTTACCATCCAGAGAAAGCCAGTCATGCTGAGAGGATGGCAGTGATGGGAGAGCCCGAGCCTTGTACTCAAATACCACAGAATTGGAGATAATCTGATTACTGATGGCCACCTGTAGCGTCACCAGACCTGTATCATGAGCTGATCATGGAAGGGATGATAAGAATCTATTAGAGTATATTCAAAGTATCACAAACACAATCTTTATCAAAAGAGCGAATTAACACTACCCAGCATGGATACTTCAGAGGTTTCAGATTTAATTATCTAGGGTTATTTTTACTGGATTTTCAAAACAGGATAAAGGTATCAGTTAAAATTCTAAACATTGTAGCACCAATATACCAAAATTAGATATTCATGGAGACATCATCCAATAGACAAATAAAAAGATTTACTAAATGTACAACAGTGACTCTTTTTTTATAATGTGGACAGCTTTATAGTGATGGTTTTCAATTCATTTCTATTAAAGTTTAGCAAATTTAGCAAGCAAATTATGGCTTAATGCAATCTGCATTAAGAAGGGTCTCTGCAGTAAAAACAACAAATAGGTTAGATTACTGTATAGCAAAAACTGTAAAGATAAATATTGTTATTATAGAAATATTGCAAGTTTCCTCTTTGCTACCTGGGCAGTAGCAACGCAGCACTCCTGGCTGGATGAGAGAAGCAGGAACCGAGATCTGGTCAAACAAGCAGCTGTAATTTGAGCTGGCTTCCTGCCAGGGACCAGTGATCAGCACCTTCACTCCACCCTGAAAACACATCTAATTAAAAAGTGTGCAGGCGTATTTGGACTAAAATGCTGTACGGTTAACCTTCCAGCTAGAGTACCAACATGTAGAAACTCATGCAGGTGGGCCAGTCTATGGTATGGTCATTTTCTTTTCTTTTTTAGAAATGCTTTTTATAAAACAATGAAATAAAAAAGTGGCTTTTTGATGGATGTTGGATGTTGTTACTTATTTCACAAGAGCACCAAATGTGACAGGGTGCAGATATGACAAGAATGTCTGGAAGGAAGAAGATTTCTGCATGAAACTCAGGACCTAGGGGTTTATCCTTTAACCAGTGGGTTCCACCTCCTGCTCTAACCATCTCAGTTGTTGTGTCATTGGGCAACACATTTCACTGCCATGCCAGTTGGTGGTTCCAACTGTATAGCAGCACTGATTTTGTTAGTCTGTCCAATTCTGCTGTGGCCACAACGGAGCTTACCACATCAGCAGGTGAATGTTTTTCAATGGATGAAGGCTTGATGGTAGCTGCTTAGCAGTCCTCAGTCTTGACGGAAACATATGCAAGTATATTTAATCAATTTTACTGAAAAATCTCCTCATGCTTCTTGCAGAACATGTTTGCAGTCTTCCACTTAATTGTGATATTTGCTTCTTTGGATGACAATCCTTATTTTCCATGTCTAAATTCACAACTGAGTAAAGTTCGGATGACATTTAATCCTTGGCTATAGCAACAATGGCTCCCTGTCATGTTGGTGCTGTTGTTAAGTAGGTGACCACATCTGGTCTCTAAAAATGAAATGTTTAATTTCTATTTTAAATTAAATTAATTTTATGTTAATTCAAATAAGAAAACAAACCATAACTCAAACTTGCTCATCCCTTTTTGACAAAGAAAAACAGAAATGCTTTGTGTTTTATTTCTGTATTTTAAAACAAAAATCATACAAACACGTCTTTTTTTGTTTTTTAAAATCAGTTAATAAAGAAAACATGAAATGACCAAAACATAAACTGACCCAGGTGGCTAAAAACTTCATTCCATTATTCTTTGCTGCCATCATGTGGAAATCCATTGATATTTCTCCCCCAAAATCCACCAAGTCTGACTAGATGGGCTGTGGTGCCCTCTAGAGTTTACATTGAGGTATTACATAGGCAAAGCAGCACCTTAAAATCATTCATAGTAACTAATCCTTGAGAAGCTATTGGTGAAAAAAATCCCAAATTTTGCAAATTCTACAAATTACGGTTTGCAACTTAAAGGTCTATCACCACTGTTACCTCTATATATTCTGTCTGTCCTATATATAAAAACATGCCCTCATACTTTCTCTCTTCTCAGCACCCCACTCAGTTGGGAGAACTCTAGTTCTCCTGAAGCTTCTTCCCACCAACATGTTTTGTCAAATGCTTGTACAGAAGAAGGTATTTTAAAATCAATAACATGATGCAGTGATAGGCTTCCTTTCATGAAATACTTTTAACCAGTTGGTCTCATTGCCAGAGTCAGAATGGCTGTTATTTAGTAAAAGATTAGAAGTTTCGTTATTAGATAATCTAAGTTAGTAGACTAATAGTGGAAGATAAAATTTTAAAAGTTAGTAAATGTATTATTAAAGACTTAATAAGAACAACTGGGACAGTGTGATCATTCAAATTATGGCTACTGCATGGAAAACTAATATTCACTGAGACATTCAAAATAAAAGTTTGCAAAAGAAAGTAAGAGTCAAAGGGGATGTTCACCAATGCTTTAGTTGTAAATCTGATATTATTTTAATTCCTCTAATACTGAGTAAATAATTTGTCTTTGATTTCAGATAAGTTTGTTTTCCCATACAAGAAACAATGAAAGAAAGAAAAAAGAAAAGGAAAGAGTAATATCACTCACCTCAGGGTAAGACCACTCTGGGGAGTAGTCAGTGACCATGAAGAGGCGGCCAGTGGCCTGCAACATTCCCAAAGCCCCATGAGCAACAGCTGCAGAAACAACCTCTGCAACATTCATGTAGGACAATGATCCAGCTTCTCCAGTGTTGCCCCCTGCTCCTACACCTCCACTTAGAGACTGAGGGCTACAACAAGGTTGAAGGCAGAGCTCTGAAGGGCTGTAGCCTGAGCCTCTGGCTCCTCCATCCTCCTGTGTGGGCCCACTTGCTGTGTTCTGATTTTCAGTGTTGTGAGATGTGGCTAACTGGTGAGCATACAGGGCACTGCCAGCAGCCATGGCTGTTCCACTACCATCCACTGAGATGAAGTCATTGATAAGGTCAGAAAACTGGTTACCAAACGATATGTCAAAGTGGTCCAGACTGATCTCCATGCCACTTCCACCTGTTCCTCCATTATTAGTTGCTGCACTCAGACCTTGATGAGCCCCCACTGCATTGTAGAGTCCTTGCACCATACTTGTGCCATGGAGGAGAGGCTGTAGCTGCTGGGTGCGGTTGGAGCCATCACTATTTCCATTATGCATCGTTACTCCTTCACCTGTGGCTCCAGCCCCTCCAGTGGCACCATCTGAAGCCTGTTGCAGGTAGTGCTCCGATCTCCCTCCTTCTCTGTTTCCTGTGCCACATGCTTGAATGTGATCCCCTGGCTTAAGGAGGTTCTCGCCTCCATTTTCAGTGGCTCCAGTCTGAGCTGAATTCACATTACCAGATTGCTCTAAACCAACAACCTCTTCATGTTCTGATCCTAGTCCAGGAAAGGGCCCCTGGTACTGAAGCAGCTGTAGAGAACTTGCTTGGCCGGACCCTTCTGTGGGTGAACCTCCATTGCAATTTGCCCTGTGCTGTGTCTGGTTCTGGTGGTGATGATGAAGGTGGCCACTGCTACCAGGGGAGTCAGTCTTTACCACTTGCAGCCCCATATAAGCTCCAGAGTCATGGGTGTTGTGCTCCATCAGATGTGATTTCTGGCTAATGCTGGACCTGCCCTGCTGCGCTTGGTTGGTTTGAGAAGCCTCCTGAAGGAAGAAGCTAGGCGAACGATTCTGGTGTTGCATATGTGGACTAGGAATTGCCTGACCATAGCTTACTGGGGTAGCACTAGAAGTATATTCTTGCTTGGCATCAATGGCACTGAAATCCATCTGCTCCAAAGTGGTGCTAGGACTGAGTCCCCCTCCTGAAGGAAGCAGCGTGCCTGTTGGTGTCAGACTAAGACTGCCCTGACCTGATCCAGTACCAGATGACACACCACCACCACAGTTCACTACTCCTCCGACCTGATAACCACTTTCTTTCATCTGCTGCTCAAATGAGGTGTCTTCTGTCTTGATGTTTTTAACGAGAGCTGAATTGAAGGGGTAGCTATTGTCTGACATGTTCGGGGAGCGCTGGAGACTCCCATTGGTGCTACTGCTGCCATTGGAGGAAGAGGATGTTGAGGACGAGTTACCCTCTGTCTTCAGAGCACTGCCCCCATAGGTCTGACCCTGTTTGGGGTTGTTCAAGAAGCAGTCGGGATCAAAGTTCATATTAGTCTCTGGAATCTTGATGTTTCCAGTATCGAGACTGCTGGTTAGCACCAGTTCTTCAGAAACACCAGCTGTGGACAACATAGACAGACTGTCCCCTGCAGTGGTAGTCCCAGGTTCCCCTACTCCTCCTCCTCCAGGGAAGGCAAATTTGTGTCGATCAGCAGTCATGGACAAAACCAACCCTTGTGAAGTGGCATCTGCACCCATCAGATGAGCATTTGGACCCCCAGCTGGAGACATGCTATAGACAGGTTCTCCAGTAACCTCAGACATGAAGACACTCTGAGACAGTCCAGACATGACAGAGGGAACATGGCTCATTCCTGTCACAACAGGGCTGTCAGCCATATCCGGATCACTGTTGAGGCCGCTGCTGATGGACACTGGGGAGTTCTGCGTAGTGTCAGGGACTTCCACCTGGTTGGTGGATGACACTTCTGTGCTGTTTTGGTGCAGGAGGACAGGCTTGTGGACCTTGCCATTGCGTTTCTCCCTGGCAGTGCCCCCTCCGGATTTCCCTCCACCATGGGCACTGTGTTCGGTCTTCCCTTCAGAAACATCATTGTTTTGAACCTCAGAGTGTCCACTGCTATAGCCAGAACGGGGGTCCACCTTGGGGGAGATGATACGATGTTTGGCGCTGTTGCATTTGTGGTGTACACTGCTCCCTGCACCTATATAAAGGAGCAAAGAGTAAACAAATTAAAATCATCATATTTTAAATGTTGATCAAAAAAAAAAACATCAATAAGACAGCTACAGTACATGATCAAATTGTAGGATTATTGGAATTCATGAATTCTCTCTGTGAAAATGGCACAACCTGCATTCTGAATATAGCAGAGAGCCATGAGCTGTGAGCCGCCCGTTCTCAGCTGGAGGAGGGGGGCTGGCAACAGACATCCCGGAAGTTCTGTAAGTTTCCTTGATATAGATATGCTGATGAAGGTTCTCAGTCTACGACCTTAGATAGATAGTTATTCACAAATGCCCATGAGTCGGATAAATTGTCCCGGATGTTAGACTATGCGAGGTGGTGTTTTTTTAATGCAAGTGAGAGCATGCAGGACCAACAATAATTCCTGCACCATGTGCGGATTTGAACTACTTCGATTGAGCAGACAACAAGAGAGGGAGGGATGTGGGGAGGAGGTTGCTTGTGAAACCTGTGTGTATCTGTCCAAATCGATGCTCTGTTCAACAAGCGTTTCAGGGGACTGGTTGTCAGAGAGTGCGCTGATTGGATTAGTCAGAAAAATAACCCAATAAGTTTTGGTTTCCTGTCTGACAGTCACCTAGTTACCACTCAAAGCTGTGAATCCCGTAAAATAGGTTGAATCCTCCAGGAAAAAACGAAAATTTATTACTCATTTTACAGCAGAATATACTAACGTATGTCCATGTCTAGTGACATACGTTAGTATATTAATGATGACGTGTGTATATATGGGTCACGGTGCGTGGCGGTTGTCTTTGGCGGTGGTGGCGGGCGGTTTGTGGGGGTGTGGATGGGGGGTTGTTGGTGGGGGGGTTGGTTGCACTGTAGTCGACCAACATCCTAAAGTCGACCAACATTTTTTTTTTTGCCATGATTAATAGGACATGACAGGGAAAAAGAGGACGTCTGGTCACCGTACCATGAGTGCGTGTTGCTATGATGCATCTTTGCTCAACAGCTTCGCTTGTTGTAAACAAACCAATCAGCGCAAGCTCATCTAAATATTCATGATGTAGCATAAAAGGAAGTAAACCTATCGTTTCAATCTAGGGCTCTTAACCAGGCTTGCATTAGGGCTCATAGAACAGCAAATATGCCATTTTCAGGCCAACCAATGTTACACACCCTATTCAGAGACCTTAAGGACCAGCACCAAATAGCCTATATAATCATTCTATGACCCCTTTAAAGATGAATGCATTATTTTGCTTTTAGAAAGAGCAAATACAAATAGAAAATGTTTTGTTAAATATTGATGGCACAGACCATATCAAATAGAGATGTTAAGTTAAGTTTAGTTTATCATATACAGGTGCATTGTATAAAATTACAAGTTATTAAAAAGCTGATATACCTATTTCAAAAAGCTCTCTAGTTTATTAATTTTTCTTTCAATTTAATTATCAGTTACAACTAATTAAACATTTAATAGTTGTTCAGCAGACAGCCACTGACTGTTTTACATAAAAGACTATTGCTTAATAAACTGGTGACTCACAGATCTTTTTACCCGAATAAATAAACTGAAAATTTAGTGGAAGGAAAAATGTAATAGAAAGTGTACAAAATAAATAGGAATAACCACAGCCTTGAGATTGGCTAAGTGGTCCAAGGCCATGTTTTAAATGCATGTGCATTTATGTCTTTTAATTGGAATTTAAGGGAATAATGCAATTTAATTCAAAGATAATTTATTAATCCCAAAGGGAAATTAAATGTTGCAGCAACTCCTAGGTTGTTTTTTATCCAAATGTTGTAGATGTTGATAGCTGTAGGCAGGAAGGATCTCCTGTAGTGGTATGTCTTGCACCGGGTCTGGAGAAGCCTCTTAATGAAGACACTCCAGAAGTTCTAGAGGAGTCCTGAAAACAGAGCTAGCCTTCTTAATTAGCTTGTTGGGCTTTTTACGTCATTAGCTCTAATACTGTTACTCCAGCAGAGGATGGCAAAAGAGTTCACACTCTCCACAACAGACTTACAGAGGTTATGTAGAATCTTCTTGCAAACGCCAAAGGACCTAAGCTTCCTGAGGGAGTACAATCTGCTGTGTCCCTTCTTGTAGACAGCTTCACAGTTGCATCCCCAGTGTACTATGTTGTCCTGATAAACACAAAGGTATTTATATTCTTCCACCACCTCCATTTCTTCTCCCTTGATGTTAGTAGGATTTATCTTGTTCCAGTTTCTTCTGAAATCTACAATCATCTGCCCTGTCTTGCCTTCAGAATCATCTCTGTATTTCTGCAGATGACAAGACTTGTTCTGGTACTGGAAGTCTAAATGAAAGTGGATTTTTTGAAGAAGGTGTATGATGGCATCTTTAACTCAATCAAAGCGATAAGCAGATTGCAGGGGGTCCTGCTACATACACAGTGTGTAGGCCCGGCTTATAGCCTTATAGGGTTTTGTCGTACAGCGTGAGTTCACAGGTCACGATGTATGTTCTCACACTGTGCAGCATGACGCTCTGATGTGATCTACCTGCTCACACTGTATGTCTAAAAACCAAGTCAGACTGAGCTCCGCAGAGAGATGACGCTACTTGGACTCATCTATCCAGCAGCCAAACCAGTAGAAGAGGAATATGAAGCTCACTAGAGAGAAACGCGCTGCCTTGAGAATTTGTGCATTTTTTTTGTGCTAAAAGCCCTAAGAAGAAAAGGTTTTAGGCGTATTTGGACAAAGACATGGCTGAGCAAACATGGCTACTACGGTCTGTCAATTTTACAGAGAGAACTCTATTTCACCCACACCCCTGCCATGCTTCTGTGTTTTCATCTGAGAGGAAGAAGAAGAATCTTTATTTTCGCATGCCCACTGAGCGATTTGCCCATGATGGTCGACTGAAAATCAAACATGTTTGATTTTCTCCGGACCTCACGATTCCTTATGGGAGGTGGTCGTGAGAGGCTGATCGCCCCTTGTTACCCCCTGTACACTACACTACACTGCACAATCAGGCTGAAAGTCGGGCTGATCGAAAAATTCTTGCACGACTGGAAAGTCGCCCCGAAAAGGGCAAAAAAATCGTACAGTGTAAGCCCGACTATATCTGCTTGTTTGCTTGCTGACGTGAACCAACAGAAGTCTCTATAGGACCTTCATGATGTGTGATGTCAGAGCAACAGGTCTATAGTCACTGAAGACTGTTGGCTGAGTCTTCTTTGCCACTGGAACAAGGCAGATGGTCTTCCACATCACTGGACCTGTATCCAGAATCCCACAGAGATGCTCTGCACAGATCTTTAGGACTCTGGGGCTGACACCATTAGGACCTGGTGACTTACTATGAATCAGCCTCTCCTGTTGCCTCTTTACTTGACTTCTAGAGACAGACAGGTGAAAGTCAGACGAAGCAGCACCATCTGCAGACTTGGCTGACAATAAAATCAGAAGTAGGATTCAATGCCAGAAGAGGGCAGGATGTCCATGTGAGTTTGGGCAGAAAAGGATGCTGAGGTTGTTCCTGAACTGAGTCTGTTGAATAATGTACTCAGTTCATCGGCTCTGTCCAGACTTCCATCTGTCTGATCATCCCTCTGCTTGAAGCTTGTGATCTTCTTCACGACTGACCACACATCTCTGATATTGTTTCCCAGCTTCGTCCTGTATGCTTCCTTGCTTCCTCTTATCTTGACCTTAAGTTTCTTCTGTCTACATTAAATGTATTCCCTGTCTCTGCTTTGTTTTATTTTCTAGTTGAACAGTTGCCTCAGATCACTTGTGATCTATGGTTTATTATTTGGAAAGCATTTTGCTGTTCTGGTAGGGGTGGTGTTATCTGCACAGAAGTCATGTAGTCACTCACACACTCAGTCCTTGCATTGATGTCCTCTCTATGTGGCTGACACAGGACATCCCTAAGCGGAGGGTTACTGAGTTCCAATTGCTTGAGATTCAATAGGAAAATTTAACCATCAGTTATTATCTGAGGAGGTATTCCATCCATGCAGTTTCTTAAGTCCAAGGTGATAGAAGCTTTCTGCAAGGAAAATGTAGAAACTTTCTGCTTCTCTTTGCCAACAAGCATTATAGATATGATGATTTCAATATCCAACAGGACTTGGCATCTGCCCATATAGCACAAAGTACCAGTACCGGGTCTGTACTACCACTACCATGGTTAATATGCTTGACTGGCAAGCAACAGCTCTGACCTAAGCTCCACATAGAATCTGTATATTTTCAAGAGGAAGATAAGAGACAACAAGACCTATAATGCAGAGGAACTGAAGGCTGCACATGAACATACATATTTTCTAGCATGCCCATGTTTTTTAATTCAAAACCTCTCTTTAAATTTCTTTATGTAATCTTAAAATCAGTGTAATTTTTTTTTTTATATTGAATTTATATTAGGTATCAGCCATAATCTACAAAAAAAATGTAATAAAAAAATGCATCTTCTGTTGTAATAACTATTTTTAATGTCATGCATGTTTATTTCTTCCAATTAAACCACTAAATACATTTCCATAGATGCTCCTGTACCCTTTAAATAGTGAAATGCTAAGCAACAATATGAAGCTTTGTCAATTTACATCAATTTAACCTACATTGAACATTTCTTTTTACAAATAGTTTGAGTGTAACTATAATGTATTTAATAACTGACAAAATAAAACCTTATGTTAAACACAGACAACCTTTTTCCATCTTGGAGGCAAAATGTTCACAATTTTTTTCTCAATACCTTAAAATCAATAAGGCACATTGATGACTTATAAAATGATATATCTGTAGTATGATTTATGTATTGAGTTATAAACATTCAGTGTTTTGTTGCATTACATAAACTGTGAAACACAAAATTGAATCTCAGCTGCTTTAATGAAAAGCAGCTGACAACACCTTTGACTAAGATGGAAATTACCATAGAAGCATGTCAGGTACGTTTTAGACAAAAAAAGATGTTAGATAATAGAAGAAATAAAACAGTAAATAAAATTGCATCTTTTTTACAAAATAAAGATGTAACATGATTTGACTGTTTTATGTTTTTTCTTTAATCAAAATAAGTTAAATATGTGAAACACCTTTTGCCCCTCATGTAGTACTTCTTCTTTGTACTCTCTTTTATGCCTTCCAACAGCAACATCTCCTGTATTTTATACTAATAATAACATTTTTAAGAATTTTCTTAGAATATATGCTTGGATTAGGCGACATTTTAGGGCCCAAGTAGTACCTCTTTTATCACCATTAAACGCATACCCGCTATTTCCACCTTCACACAGTGTGGAAAAGCTATGGCTTTTCAAGCTTTCTACATGTAGATTAAACTTTTGCTTCAATTTCTTCCCACAATTTGCTTAATTATCCCCAAATCGTAACCTTCTGGGTGTCCACTTTTTTAGATATATCAGAGTTAGAGATATTTCCCTGGTTTTATGATAATCCCTGCTCCCACTAGGGCTGATTGCTAGAAGTTAGTCCCCCACATATATATATATATATATATATATATATATATATATATATATATATATATATATATATAGCTCACACAACACCTTTTATCTATCACACAAACCATTGTGTTGGGATTTGTCTGCAAATTATTGTTATTTTTTTTAAATAAAATGATAACGCCCCGCCCACTAGCCCTTACCCAGGGTACCCGTGCAGAGGCAGTTGTGAGTCCGGGGAGGTGGCTTAGTTTGGTGGCTGTCCAGAATCTGTTGTACTAGCTGCTCCACTGAGAAGCCAGAGCTGCTGTTCCCATTGCTGCAAGTCCACTTGATGCCATGAACTGCCGGGAGAGAGGAGGAGACAGAGATGTCAGCCAGTCCAACAGACCACCAGCCACGCCAGCCTTCCACCCCCACCCACTGCCCCTGTCTTTCTGCCAGTTGTCCCTACTGTTCAGTTACGACACCTTTCTTAAAGCACGCAGTGGCATAGTAATGCAGAGACCTCCAAGTGTCTAACTTGGCGTTGTGATTATGTTGTTTTAGGCAGTTTTATTTAGCTAACTTTTCCTTATAATAAGAAGCCTAACAGTTCTGGTAAGAAGTACATTTACTCACAGAGTTTAATGCTCTTAGGATTTTATCTAAAAAGATACATTTGATTGGATAGTTATTTTAGCGTGAAATGGTTTTACAACAACTTGACTAATGGACAATGAATTTTTAAAACAAGAACTGGCCCACCGTTAGAGTTCATAGTTGTGAATGTTCTCTAAGGGTCAGGAGCAGACATACAGGCCTAAAAATGATCCATTCACTAATATTTGGAATAATGCACTTTAAAGAGTTGTACTACATCCACAGTTTTTGTAGCCAAATAGCTTTTGCCCTCATTCTGGATATTGAGTGCTATTATTGGTGATGGACTTGTAAGTAGGTTGATTTTATGGCACAGACCTGATTGTAAACCACATTAAACAAACTGTGAATAGGGTTTATGTTAGGGTATTGTGGGAGCTTATTATCAGACTATATTATGTGTTATGAAACCAGTTTTGTTATTTTAATATTTACCTTGTTTGAATAGGTTCTATTAGATCTCTAGTTAGAGTGTATAACTTCTAAGAAAGAAGCACCAAAACTTACACTTCCAAGTCTAATTGATGATAGAGGATGCCATCTGCACCACTCCTGGAGAGACTGACAGTAAAGATACTGAACAAAGGACATCGAAGCACCACCTGCTGCTGACCACGTACAAACAGTTGAAGTTGGTCCCCATCTTTCTGCAGCCCCAATATTGGCAGTCCACATGATTCCTGCACCATCTAAGACAACCTAACCTTTAAATCAGCAGATGACACCACCTTATCTCCAGAGGTGATGAGACTGCTTACAAGGAGGGGGTCCAGTGGCCAGTGCTGTGTTCTGAGAACAACAACTTGGTCCTAAACAGATGGAGCTCCAATAACTTGGCTGAGGAAAAGAAGGCCAAACAGCGGCCCCACTGTCTGAGAATCCTTGAAGAGGGAACTGATGACTGCTTCTACAGCAGCTTTATTGAGTGACGTACTAGAACTCTGAGTAGCTTGTAACACTATGGCACATAAAAAGTCACAACAGAGGGTTATTAATACCAACCAGAGGATTATTTTCCTTCCCCATCTCTCTCTCAGGGACCTCCAGAGAACCTACTGTCTCAGAAGGGGAGGCAGCATTCAGAGAGACCATACACATCTATGGCAGTGGGTGTTACAGCTCCCACCCTCTTAAAAGACAAACAAATAAAAAGATAGACTGTTTCTGACAGGTTTGCAACAAGGGGAGAACTACACTCTGATTTTGTTGTGCTTGTCTACACTTTACCTATGTGCAAGGACAAATTCAGGTGCCCAAATAGTCAAATCAAGTGCCGTACGAGGAAACTTCCTCAGCATACAAAGCGAGCCACGTGACTTTAATATGAAGCATTGCTCTAACAGGACAAAGATCCAAAACAGTATCTGAATTTAATAAATTCAAATTGTGTGTTTAATAATTTAAAATAAAAAAATAGGTGCATTTTATTAAATATCAAGCCCTATAAAGTCTCGTTCAGTGCTTTTGATATACCCATGTTTTGTATTATTTAGAATGATGAGTTTCATTATTCTGTTGCATCAAGTCGAGGTATAGGACTTTTTCCATGATACAATTGTGTCGCTTTATTATTATTTAGGTAGAATTCAATGACTATCTGAGGATTAAAGTGTAATCCACAATGAAAAAGCCCAAGTGGCCAAATTTAATGAACAAAACAGAAAGTTCTCTGTCTGATCAATTTATTAGGTACAAGGCCAAATTCTCCTCCAACCTTCTGACCTGCCTTATCTTTTATTTGTATTACTTCAGAAATGTGGAAGAAACATTTTTCAGATACTCTGGTTCATATTGATGTGACAGTGTCACACTGTTGCTGCATTATTGCTAGCTCTACAATAATGCTAAGGATCTCTATTTTACCAAAACCCACAGAATCAGATGACTACGAAGATTGCAGGACTAAAGTTAACTCATCATACTGGTAGCGGTTTCCCAGTCTGGTGAAAGGTTTGTTCCTCTACTGCTGTTTCCCATCAGATAGAAAACAAATCTACACAAAAATTTCCAATTATGCTAAGAGGCTTGCTGATGCTTTAAAAATGACACGCTCTCTATAACTTTGTGAGGAAGATTTTGGCTAATGTTAGTTGAATGTGCGTATGTATTTTAGAGTGCATAAATAATATCAAGCCTGTTGGGTTTAGACTTAAATAACCAGTATTTGGTTATCCCTCAAAATCATGGTTTTAACGCATCATACCTATTTAATGAGTTACAATTTTAATAAAGATGAAAAAAAAAACCCTGTTCAAATAATTTACAGAAAACCCAACTTATATGGCATTGGCACACATCATGATGAAGAGTATGAAGGGTAAAGTGACATGTCTCATTGGGGCACACTTTTTAGTTGTAATACTTCTTTCTCCATTCACTTGTCTCAGTGTTTGCCGCTCTGCTACAGGATTCTGCACATAAGCGCTGATGAAACTGATGAAAACTTGACCTCATCTCAACCTCCGCCCAGATTTGTTACTTTGTTCTTAAAACCTGTGGGGAGGAAAATTACCAAGCAGCTGCTGCTGTACCAAGTGAGAAAAGAAGCCTTTCTCCAGGAAAGTTTCCCTCCCTCCTTCAGTCATGGCTCAGTGGGACCTGCTAATACTTTCTATTGCTCCACTTGTCAAGCCGACATGATTTCTGATGGGATAGACAGTGCTTTTTAGTGGCCATAAAAGCCTGGTAGGAGACACCACTGAGTGCTACAGTGCTCAGGCTCTCAACCGTAGAAAAAGGTAATATATCAGAGTAAAAGCATATTTAGACTATCAGACAAAATCAAGCAAGCTTTAATTTAAGTTCTTTACACTTCAGCAGCTCTTTGGTTAAAAAAAGAAAGAGAAAAATATATTAGGAGAGAGGGAGAGGCTTGGAGTATTGAGAAAAAGCTAAGAATTAGCTGTTTTCATTTTAAGGTTAAAGGACACGGGAATCAGATAATAGGATGAACTGTATAGTGAATGAAAGAATAAAATGTTAAATTAGGTGAATAAATGGGGAAAACATTATTGAAGGCTGAGACGAAGATCAGACATGAAAGCTTTAAGATCTTCTGGTAGATTACAAATTATCACCAGCAGATGTCAGTAGAGCTGCCGTGATAAAGCTGGATTCCCCTGATAATTCAATGGGGTAGGATATAAAAACACTAAGAATAATTTAGGCTTTATTTCTAAGTGATTGGTGAAAAAATGATAGATAACAAATGTGAAAGAGAAGTTTCATCTAATATCAAATTAATTACTGCACAAATAATAAGAGGTTTGACTAAACGCCAAGGATTCACTCACCATTAACCTTCTGACAGATGCAATGCAAATTGCACAAATGAGCGGATGCTTAAATCACTAATAAAGACATTATGGGAATAGCAGCATAACTAAAATGCTTCTGTATATGTTCATGGGGAAACCTGTGTGCATGCTGCAGATTACAGAAGTGTCCTTTCTGCTAATTTGACTCTAACAATCTAACAGCAAGTGCACAACACAACAAACTCTATCCCCAAAGAAGAGCTATACCTTTGCCCTAACAATCTCATCTCTCTTTCCTAATCGCTAGTGCCAGATTGCCACAGTCCTCCTCATCTAGATGAGTGTCACCCCTGAAGGCTCTGGGTGGCTGATGTACAGTTACCCCCATGTCTGCCTGTCTGCTCTTCTCACTAAGTGTTTTATTCCAAAGCTGACATGACAGGAGCAGCGCCATTACGCTTAAACTTAGGCAGAAAGAGTAGAGGAACCAAGCAACAACCAAGTCTGATGATAATTTTGATGAGTGCATGATGTCATACAAATGGCAACATTTTACACAGAACAAATACATGGATACAACACTTCCAACAGAAGCTATGATAGTCCATCCAGTTTTCCTTTACATCTCTTAGCCCAAATCATCCACCCAGCAGGCTGTTCTGCCTGTCGCTGTTTGTTAGCACTGCTGTCAGTAAAGCTGTTGGGCATAGCTGTAGAACTGGGTGTGTTTGTTTTAGCAAATGTAAAAAGTAAATCAAGCTAGCTGTGTTGGAACTGATGCCAGTATATACTCCGTCTCACTCCCTGATGCAGCCTTTATTTAACCAGAGCTTGTACTTGAACTTCAAGGCGAGAGCATCGTTAAAACTGTTCACAGACAAAAAGCATAAGTGTTTTTACCAAAGTCAAAAAGAGAAGGATCCTGTTCATCTGGTGGATCAATTCTTTTTTTGTGGGGGGAGGCTTTTTTCTTTCGTTCAGTCAGCTATTTAATGTAGTTATGAAAGTCAAGATAATATATTGGTACAATATGCGATATGATAAGAACATTTTGGTATAAAAGCAACACTCTGTTCACAAACAAATAGCACCGCAGCAAGAAAAGACAATTAATTAGAAACATATCAATGTTAATAATAATGATAAATGTTATCATATCAATCACTTTAAAAATCACATTCAAAGCCCCCAATATGTTGTATTAAGTGGGATAAAAGTGACAAATTGATGTTAAAATGTCCATCCTTTAAAAATTAAAATGGTAAGTGTTTTGGGGTATTTCTCTACCACCTATTGTGTTGGGGAATACTTAGCCATTAATCTTTGGAAAATAGCTCAGGCTTAGTAAGATTAGAAGATTAGCCTTTATAAGCATCAGGTTTCAAGTCGAGCTCTCACTTTGACTGGGACATTCTAACACATGAATACTGTTTCAATCCAAACAGTACCATTAAACCTCTTCTATAAAAGATTGTCTTCCAGGACTGATCAGTATTCAGTATATAGAGGATAGTTGACTCAGGGAGGTGTTATGTCTTAGTTTTCTGACCACCTAAAGGGTTTCATGTGAATGCTACAACGTCTTTTTTTTCTCTCGTGTCCAGAACATAGTTAGTGGCAAATAGTAATTATGTAAATATTTTGGGGGTTTATTCCTGCCACTGTTTCATAAAGTCCATATCAGTGGAGTCATGACTAGCTGATGTATCGATGGATTTTTCCACCTAAGATGTCAATTTCTACAGCTTCTCTGGAGACATCAAGTTTCTCCTCACAGTGGTTCGTGTTCTTTAACAACTGGCTGATACTCTCACCGAAAAGCAGTTTTTAAACTTAGAGTAAATTACACATGGACTGTTTTAGGCAACTTTGAAAGTCTCTTAGTAGCACTATTTTTTTTCTCAAGGGTTCCAGAGTATAAGAATATGAATTTCCTTTTACTTTGCACTCATGCAGTTCTATGGCACTGTCCATTACATAAAACCTAAAGCTGTTATATCGTAGATAGTTGTGAAAATAAAATAAATGGTGTAAAAAAAAAAAGAAAAGAAAAGTTAAAGGGCAATAAATACTTGTGCAGGATAGCATGACCAAAAATCAGATTCTCAACAATGGATGCATCATGAAGATTTTTGCATTTCATATGAACTTGTTAAAGCTCTAATAATATTGGACAATTCTGATAAAGAAGAAGGATCTGTACTTTATATATATGTATGTTTCTAGCCTTTTTTAGAGTAAATAAACTATTTTAAAGCAAAATAATTACAGAAAATACATAATGTGTAAATTAGAAACAATATATTTCTCTGATAAAAGGTACCCTGTTATAAGGTTCAAGCTAAGGTTTAATATCAGACAAAGTAAGGCATGGTCGAGTTAATGCGCCCCAGTTAAAACTATCATTTGAAAGGGGACTTGATATATCATATCACCACTAGATGGCAATGTTTCTCCACGAATAAGAAGTATGTTGGCACGCTCTGTCTTTGAGAAGTAAGGGGTAAGGAAAGGGAACAGAGGAGAAGAAGAAAGACAGACAGCAAAAACAGAAATAAATCAGGAGAGGGAATTCTTGCTCTTTAAACCCCCCCACCCCCATGTTGCCTGGCAGCTTGAAGGCATCTTACTCTCAGACTCTTTGTCCCAACAACCGCAAAAGTTAATGACTTCACGCATTATTGCAAATGGAGCTTGATTTGTACATTAAGCCACAGATGTAATGAATATAGTGGATCTTTGTTGCTCTGACGCTGTCCTGAGGTAAGACTTTATGTTGAAACATCTTAAAACTAATGCAGTGTTGAGGGTGACAATATAGCCGACATCTCACTGATGATGGCTTGGACTGCCTACTCAGTATGCTGCCGGCATGTGAGTGCACTTATAAAGCTGCTGACACCTTCCTCTTCACCTGGCCACATCGCCAATAATTGGCCATTGGAATATCAGTCACAGCTCTGCTGGCCCTTGACAGACACACCAGAATCACAGTCTGGTTGTTAAAAGGAATCTTACGGGAACTAAAAGTTTTTTAATGCCTCCATGAATTCCCCTTTTGAATATAATAATCATCATCAGACAAAACTCCTGCTTTTTCCAAAGCCATACATCAGTCTATGCCCAGATGTATCATCATAAAAGTACACAGAGCAACTTGCTGATCTTTTGTATGGCTCATAACAAAGGGAAACAATCCATTCAGGAAGGAAGGAGACAGAAAGAGCCAAGGAAGGGGTGGCAGGGGATTTCTGGTGAGTCTAATATTCTTCCTCACATGCACTAACATGAATCAATAACCAGCTTGTTGCCCCTACTATGCCTTGCCTGCTTCTATGGTCCAGACAGAGGAGAGTTGCTGTCTCAGACTGGCCATACTGTTGTCAGAGGTCAAGGAAAGAGCTGAACTTTGACCCAGAAGCAGCAGAAAGCTCCGGGAACTGGATACTGTGATAAAGTATTTAAGGAATATCGGCTGGAGATGCTTGCTAGAGTTAGGTGCTAAGGGCACTTACTGTAGAGATCCAATTATAAGCTCATAGGGGTGGACATAAAATCCTGCTTAAAAAGCCAGTCCCTCTCCAACTGAATAGAATGTATCCATTAAGACTGTTCTGGGCATATTTTAATCAAATCGAACAGCTAAAGTCTACATTTCAGGTGACAGAAATTGGTTAAAATACGTTCTTGGTGCAAATACTAACACATGGGCTTTAGCTGTCCAATCAGCTCTTCTTTGGTCCATTTGGCCCATTCTTTCTTGTCTGTATTGATGGAACACAGGATCGGTCCGCATGGTTTCCCACAATCCTCGATGGCTGGAACATTCAAATAGTGGACAAGCACGATGTCTGGGTTCTAAAGTAAAAACAGAAGAAAACGGAGAGCAGATTACCCAGAGTGATCAAACAATAGTCTGTTGTATTGTTTCTTAACACATGTAAGATTAAAGACATCATATTATTCTCCTACTGTATAGGAAGGGTAACCATTCCCGTGTAGTAGTGCATAATTAACTGAGTAGAGATCTGAGTGCTTTTGTGGGAAAAAGAAGCTGAGTAATGTGAGGTAAATGTAGCTAAGTGTAAAACCATACTCTGGTAAACCTCATACCGACAGAAAAGCCCAAGAACAAAAAGAGGAAATGCTGATCCCTAAATCCAAGTAGCAGAAAACATCCAGGATCAGAAATTCTCTATTATGTGTCTGGCTGTATCTCTGATTCTGCAAATGCATGTGATTGGACGTGCCTACCAGCGGGTAAACTAATGTGCACACATGTATTTGCACGTGTGTTAATTACAATGTGTGCCAGCATAACACACTTATGGCATTTTGTCAAATCCTCCCACATAGTGTGATGATGCCCTCAATTAACTCTGCCTGTATTTACCAAGTCAAAACTCAACAATTTACTTCATACAAATGATCACTGGGTTACCTCGACAACATTTTCTAAATTGACAGCTTATGAATAATAGGTAGCGTTTAAAAGAATGTTATGCAGGTGTGAATAACATCAATTCACTTTATCTGCCCAACACTTATGGAAGGTATGTCCCTTTTACAGTGTTTATCACATTTAACTCCCACTCAGCCAACTAATTTAAGACACATATACACCAAAAGACATGCGTTGTCTTGCAAAAGTTATGATTGTCCTTTGCTATATTTTACATTATGTAACCACAAACCTCTATGTTTTCAGTGTTTCATGGAGTGTTTTATGAAATGGAATGTGTATCACTGTGAATGGATGGGAAATGACAGATACTCTACAAAAAATGAAAGATAAATACATAAAACAAAACCAGAAAACTGTGGCAAACATTCAATTCTGACACTAGGAGGAAAAACACTTGGTAGAATAACCTTTCACAGCATTGAATGTTGAAGTAAGTTTCCACCAACTTTGCACACCATTAGACTCACATATTTTTCCTGTTTCTTGTAAGTTTAATCTAGCCTTTCTATATTAGTTACACAGTCATCTATTTCTGTAAACAGTACATTTCCAACCTTGTTACACTACTACACTTAATAAAAGGAGACCCACCACACAAGTCTCAATTCTTTTTGACACACTGACAAGCCTTCTTCCAGGATCTACCTACGTGGAACTCCATCTAGTCACCACTAAAGAGAAAGAGCATTTACACAGCATGATGCTGTCACCATCATTTTTCACTGTGGGGATAGTGTGTTCTGGTTGACGTGTAATGCTAGCTTTCTGCCATACAAAAGATTTTGTATGTAGGCCAAAAAAATCTGAAAGAGCACCTTCCTGCCATATGTTTTGTGTCCCCTATGACTCTGTTGTGCCAACAGATTCTCACACCTGATATCAGGACCTTTGCGGCTTTAGTTACCAAGGAGCGTACAGCTGTTTCTTCAGTTAATGCTGTTCTTTCCTCTCATGTTTTTATTGGTTTGCTTAGTGACATTTTCAAAGCTTAAAATCTTTCAAACTGCTGCAGCTTTCTGAAGGACTTTTTAGGCAAACCTATGAAGAAACTTTTGCAGTAATCAATTCTAGTAAAGATAATTGCATGCATTTTTTCTAGATCATGCTTGGACATTAGTCCTTTAATCCTGGAAATGTTCTTCAGGGGATAAAAGTGCCTTTATGTGCCTCTGAAGGTTCAGGTCTGAGTCCATCATGACACAAAAATTTTGCCTATAATCATTGGTTTCTAGCTGTAGCAGTTGAAGCTGTAAGCTAACTCTGGATCTTTCCTCATTTGATCTGAAGATTATTAAGTTTTGGTTTTATTCAGTTGGAAAGGTAAATGAAGCATGTAGTTGTTGAAGAGGGGTAGCCCTAGAATGGAGCCTTTAGGAACCCCGCAAATGATTATTAAAGGTCCCTACTTACACATAAAAGTCCCTATCCTTCATATAGGATTTAAACCAGTCAGATATTGAAAAGATTCAAAGTCACCCAGAAACACTTTTCTACACTTTAGTGAATGATTCACCAGAGTAACGAGTCTTCCCCCTTTTTTAAACAGTCTGCTCTGACAGAGAAGATTGTAATTGGGAGGTGTGGTCTCCAATAAAATCGGCATCTCCATATTTTCATTAAGCCATGTCTCTGTTGGAAATATAAAATTAAGATTTCGCTGATTAAAAAACATTTTCCTGAGAACACCTGAATTTATTCTGTAGTGAAATTATATGTACAGACAAAAGGTAGTTGGACTCTTTTCTTTCAGGGTATCTGACCAAATGGTTTTAAAATCCCAAATTTTCAGATAAAAAAATCTAGGACTGTTATATTAGGGACTACTTTTGTATGGATCAGTTATTTTGTAAGGTATTTTAGAAACATGGTTCAGATTATTTGAGGTAGATCTTGAAGAAGATCGAGTAATTTATGCAAGTAAGCACAAAATCCCCACACCCTCATGTGTGCACAGCCTTATAGCTAAACAAGATGCAGGAATAGATGAACCAACTTAGACATTGATCGAGAAAAATGTTGTGACAATGCATGTTAGTGTATGTGTGTCTGTGCGTGTGTGTGAGTGCAGTTTGAGGCTTCATCAGTACTAAGTGGCAAATAAATCACAGTGTTGCTACTGTAGGTCTGTGCTCCCTCTCAGTGTGAACCATTAATCTGAACCCCCCAACACACACACACCTTCCGCTTCTCTGTTATATCAGACAGAGGCTGGGCTGTGACACAGATACCAAAGTATTGTAAAAAAAAAAATAAACAAAAAAAAAATATATATATATATACATATAAATATATTTTAAAAATAAAACCAACTCCTGGCTCTCTGATGTGGCTGCGTCTCTCTGGCTCAGTGGTTTGTAAAGCAGGCTCAAGTAGATAGATGACCTTTCCCGCAACTTTCCAGCACGAGCTGGAGCTGGACATATCAGTGGTTTATGTTCCTGTTTTCTGTGTCCCCTGTCATCACTTTGGACACTAGGTTATGACTGATGCCCTGACTGGTTGGTAATATCACATACGGTATGTGGTTCCCCCAGATGGTCGCGCCAGCTGTGTCAATAGGCAAGAGATGCCCTCAATCTTTACTTGGATCAAAACTGTAGACAGCTTTGTTTAATTACAAACGGTTGTACATGTGTAGATGCAGGTGGGGTTTAATATGCACACAGACACATGGTCCATAATTAAGCATTTAAAAAAACACTAGTATGTAAGCACAAAAATGCTAAAAACTGATAAAACTATTTAGCGTAGCATAAAAGAACCTTATGCACTCATAGGATGGACTTGGGCTTGATGGAAACAATCATTTACTGGGTTTTCTCCATTCAACACCCACTCTTCTGATTGTCTTCTACTTTTCACCGAGAACAACACAGGTATACAAGCACACTAACAAAACTCAAAAATATGACCATGTGGCATTCCCATTTTGGATCTCTGTGTTTCACTTTTTAGAATCTTCTTTTATTTACAGGCCAATGAGGGAGCTAGAGGTGCATGACATCTGCAACTTTTCATTTTCTCTCACAACTCATTTTACTCCTCTCTCTCTCCACTTACTTTACAGCATATTTAACAGTTCTTTCCCAACTCAGGTGCACTTCCACTCGGAGACGAAAACAACACAATGAAAATGTAAAGCACCACATAAATCTATCAGGATGGTAATTTAATTTAATTTCTTGCAGCCTGCTTTCTTTTCCACATTGTACTACCAGGAGTTGGTTCTCCAGGAGCAGTGGGAGAGGCTGAGGGTAACTTTTTGCCTTGATAGTCTTTTTCCAAGGAAAATGAGATCTCATTAACTTATTGATTAATTGTGTAATGTAGTCTTTTGGTTGTTTTTTTCCCTCTCATTTCCCATGTGAATTTCGGGCAGCTTTCCAGCCTTGCTTCTGCATAGCTGTGGAGAAGTGGCCAACAATTACAGGAATATGCAATGTGGAAAGATTATAAATATTTTTTTTTCAGCAAGGGTTTTTACTCTTAAAATGTTTTTAATTTCTTTTCTTTTTTTTAAACTTTTTAAATAATATAAAAAAGGATTCCAGAGACAGTCATTCACTCAAAATCATCATATTCCAGAGCTAGAAAAAGACACATATCAAGCAGTCATTTATTCCTGCCTGCCTAAAATTGACATGCATTAACAAATGCATTGTCATAGTCGAAATAAATCCCTTGATTAATTTCTTGACAATTAGAACATACCAATATGTTTGTGCAACATATAAGTTGCAGAATGACCACCCTTACCTGACATAAACAGAAATCCGGCTGAAGTTTATGAAAGCAAGAGGAAAAGGAAAATTCTTTTAAGAAAGGTTTATCAGGTAAGTCATACCTTGACTTTAAATGAAAAAATAACACCACAGCAACAAGTGCTCTTGGAATGAATAGCTAAAACTTCAACACACTGGTAAGTAATATTTGTAAGCATTGAATATTAACAATAAGAAAATGCATAATTTTGGTAAAGTTTGTCATATTTTAAAGTTTCTGATGACATGTTTGCCAATGTCTAGGGATCAAGTTATTCATTAAATCAATAAAAGCACTCTCAAAATTCTGTAATTAGACGCAGAAGTATTATTGTTACCTAAAAAAAAAACACACATAAAGAGGAAAGATGAAGTATGCATCTAGACCTACAACAAACAGCTATCTAAATTCATCATATTTAGCCAGGGTATTGTGTCTAAGTCTTAACATATTTATTTGGTTAAAAATTTATAATTTGGCTAAAGACAAAAATGTTTTACTTATCGTTGATATTTTCTCTAGATTACAACCCTGCATTTCCTTAAAAAAGTTGCATTACCTTATGATCCTATGCCAGGTTCACACTGCATGGAAACTTGTTTGTCAACCATTTACATAAACCAAAACCTGG